TAATAACGACAACAACTTGCCTTTGTAGTTAAGACTCAACTAAATTATTTAATTACTATACACATAACCTATACAGACTCACAGCTCCGATCTTGGAGTCAAAACAATAAATCATCGCAATGAAAACTGGGACATTTGAGTGAGGTTGTTTGACAATGGGAGATAAATCAACAGCATACGTCATAGTCAGCCGCGGGCACTTGCGGCCATCTTTGGAACACCGCAGCCATTACATTAAATTAATATCTCCACCTTAAGACTGTCGCCTAGTACAATACATACATACGTCACAGAAGTTTTAGTCCGAAAGTGTATTCAAATTGGTGTTATAGTTTGTTCTACTTCTGTTATTAGTTTTAGTTGAATTTAGGACTTGACTACAATTTCAATTTAAGGTGATACTACCTATATGTGTGCGTAGATAAATTAAGAATTTGAGTACAATTACAATTGCAGCAACAGAGTAGTCAGATAGGAAATGCCGGCTTCATCTAGTTTTTTACATATAAATTGACGTGTAAAAGTGCCGTTTTATGGCCTATTTGCAAAAATAAATTCATTGTTTCATTGTTTTGTATTCGAAATGGATTTGCGAGTAGATAATAATTGTTTTCATGTACTGGCTACTTATTATACTTGTAGCGAAATCTACTTCTTTAAGCAAATTATTGTGTATTATTATAAAATCTATTTTATTTCATCGATGAAACAACGTAATTGACAAATTCTTTCTTTTAGTCTGTATTGAAATTGAAACTGAACCAATTCTTTATCAAAGTAGCGAAAACCGTTTAGAGTCTTAGCGCCTCTTAATTTTGAACCTTCACACAAGTACTCGTAAGCTTATTTGACATTTTATAAAAATTACGTCCTATATTCCTATTTATTTGATACATAGCCGATCGAATCGAGCTGATATTCCTATCCAGACACAGTTAAACAATTCCTAAAAGTGAAATCATTCAATTATACGAGATATCAACTAGCATATTGTTATCATTTCCCTGCACTGTGGTTAAAATCATGTTATTAACGGTAGACAAAAGCCGAGGGTGGTGAAAGGGGTGGCGAGGGGTGCGGATTAAGATTTACTTCAGATATTTGCAGATGAGATTTGAAGGTATTCACAATTGTCGCATTCACTGGTCCCTTTTGTCTGAATGCGACGCTAATTTTGTTCAGACACTGATTCGGTTTTAATGAATTTAATGTGGGATGATTTTACAACACTTGGTCTTGTAACGCGAATCATATTTTTTTCTCTTTATCTTGTTACAAGATGTTAAACTAAATAAAACCAGGTTATGTTAAACTAATTCGTTCTATAAATTTGGATTGCAAACGTGATTTCAAAATTTTCTTCGGCCTTTGTGCTCAATGCCGTCAATTATATTTTAATAACATTAAAAAAGAGTTTTATGTATGTCATTTCTCATAATTACAATAAACAAAACTTACATACAGCACACAGACAAGGTCCGATCTAGATGAAAGTTTACACTATGGATGAAACTGATTCAAACTCACTGCCTAAGATTTTTAGGTTATTGATTCTCGATAGATAACTGTGAAGAGCAAATCTTCTTCTAGCGTGGCCCACGTGTTTTCCCCTATAAAATTCAACGTGTTAATTTCTCTTACTACGTCCACCCACAAATCTTCCAACAAGCTGTATACTAGTACTACTTCAAAACCCATTAAGTAATATCAATTATGTTGTGAGTTTCCGTTATAAACCCTTCTCTTCAAACAATGATACTCGTAGTCAAGTGCTACGGTGTAGCAACTGCATTACGTAGCATCTGTGTAGCAACGCGTAGCACTGGCGAAGCATGGCTACGAAATATTTGTGATGTAATTATTTATGTCACAGTTCCGTATTTTTGTTAAGTTGGAAATCCGTTCTTATTGACTAATCATTCTCTTATTGACTAAAAACCACTCCGTTCCGTCTCCTGCTCTAGACCGAGGCTGCGATATATTAATGCGATTCCCGGCAGTTGCGTTTTATATTAAATTTGTTGTAAGTGTGAATGTATACCTATAGAAATTGTATCAGCGTATAAAACGAATAGCCTCATAAATGAAACTGTAGATCGTAGCGCGGTGCTACGTTATCGTAGCAACATTGTAGCCAGTGTAGCACTGCCACTGGTGTAGCTTTGTAACGTAAGTTAAAGTTGTGCTGTTCAAAAGATACATGGCATTGAACGTAATAATAATAATAAACTAAAATCCTTTTTAATTTTAATTCCTCCATCCTCAATTACAAACGGATTTTTGATGGCATACGGTAGCAAAGGAGCTAGCGGATCACCTGATGGTTCGCAATCAACTTCGCACATCGATAGACACAACACTAGACTTATAAATGAGTAACAAGCTTTTTTAGGGTAGGAAAATTGGAGATTGTGGAATTTGGAGATATAGGGGTTGTGCTGGCCCATTCATGCCGAAGCATGGCCCTTCCACACACACACCACACATATTTACTCCGAGTCGAGCTTAACCAACCATCTGTGATATTGATTTTACTATTTTTATTCTAAGCCTCACATTTCACAGTGGGACGTATGTTGAGTATATGCTATTTAAAATCCCTACGATCATTTTAAAGCATTGTGTGGATTACTTTCTTTCTTTGTGTACGTGGCGCCCCCTGGTGTAGTCTTCCCTTTGTCAATATTGTGATTTAGCATGTTCATGTCATTTATTTTTTGTTTTTATTTTTTTTTGTTTTCTATTGATATCATGAATGAAACAAGGTTTTATGCAATTAACGAGACAGATTTGAAGAAAATGATGTCCAGATGTGGACAATAATATGTGTGAATATTATTTTTTAATCCTACACCATAATCAGCCGGAGGACTCCACATTGAACGACAACTGGCCACTTGCATTCGAAATCCAGTTGTTTATTGCCATATTAAAAGTAATCTTTATGCACAAACCATTAATTTTCAATTTAGAATATAATAAAATTTATCTCTCTTAATAGTTCCTTCACAATTACCATTTTGGCTCGTCCAGTGTTGTAAGCGCAATAATATACTGCAGTCCCAGCCTGGAAGAGAAGAAGGAACGGAGTGATTTTTATTTAGTAAGAGTTTGATATTTCCTCTCACCCCATTCAGAGCAAGAGAAGTAATAGGATGATTATCCTCCCTCAAAAACAGCATTTAATTGACCAAAGCAACATAAATGCTCAAACATTTTATATTTAAACCGTTTTATTTGAATTTAGAGCGCTACCACACGATCCACACGCGTCATCGCGCGTCAAACAATACAGCGACGGGTTTCCTGAGCTGCCGTTGTCCGTCTATTGTTGCGACAGCCGTACGGGATGCATTGTCCACTGCTTTGACGGATGTGAAGAGAAAAAGTGTACACTACATCATCACAGTATCATTTTTTAGATAAATTCGACTATTTATCTTTATATATAAAACTTTCGTGTCATGTGTTTGTCCGCAATGGACTCCTAAACTACTAAACCGATTTTAAATTTGATTTGCATTCCGTGTGCATTTTGATCGAACATGAAATATAGGATAGCTTACATCTAAATTTATAGTCACAATGTTATTTACCTTAGCCACAGCAAGCGTGGCTGGGTCTGCTAGTTTAAAATATTTTCTTGAAGTTATTGCCGAGTAAAAACGGTTGAAGGTAAATCTTTTCGAACGTTAACGTTTTACTTAAATTAATCTATAATTTCCCAGCGAACGCTGGCGTTTACGCACCTATTGTCTTACTATCGTTTCTCAAATAACCACGATTGAATGTTTAAAAGGAATTACTTGATTTAAATTGATAATTACTGACAAACTTGCGTTTAGCCGTCGGAAATATTGTTCAGAGGGCCTACCGTTTCGTTTCAATCGTTCCAATCGTACACTCTTGTCAAAGTGGTCGTGGTCATGGTATGTCCTTGGTGGCTGTCTTTGCGATTTCTCTCCACTTTTTCCTGTTAGTGGCGTTCCTCGCGCACTCCACAATTGAGCTGGATGTCACTGATTTTAAAATGACCGTCCATCTCGTTGGTGACCTTTTCTCGCCCGGAAGATTCACGCTTTAACACGTCATGGTACGCCTACAGATTTTTTTTTACAAATACGTAAGTTGACCGCCACAACACTACGATAAATAGATCCTTTTTCGTATCGTATAAAACCTTTTATCATATAAATTAAATCTCTATCTCCCACTTATAAATCCGCCCCGAATGTACGTCTATTTCAACATGATGTGAAACAATGCGTGCTTCAACTGTTTCCCGCGTCGTCGCCGCGCCATTGTTGCGTTTGCGTTGCGACAGTCGCTTCATCCGCTGGGGACCGTGTGTTGGGGGTTTTAGAGATACTTGGAGACCATTTCAATGTGGATAGTGGATATACGATCATATTAATGGCAGGTACATAATGACTTTGCTCATTGGATTACTACAGCTTATTTGTTTACGGCGATATTAAATATTTGTATAGTTATGGGCTATAGTATGGATACTTTGTACCTATAAAGGTAACGTTTTTTTTTTAAATTTCGGTATCGGCAGACTATCGGCCGCTATCATGCCTGATGGTAAACTATATAGAACGAACGTTTTGTCTTTAAAAATGTATTAGAAATTGCACAATTAGAACATTAAAGAAATGTAAACATTTATATGCAGTATTCCAATCACTATTATCATTAAGTGATTTTGAATCTAAAAGGGTATATTGTTTAATGTTTTGTACAGAACCACTGGCATATAAATATGTTCTCGAATGTGGTTGAATAATTCCCTCAGTTTGCACGGTGATGTAGGTATCTCTCGCGAGAACTCTGAATTGACCGTGTGTCTGAATGGCTGATTTTATTCACTCTCCAATAAAATTGACAAAAAGTGTGTACATCCCTTTGGTGTTTCGGGTGTCCATAGGCGGCGCTGATTGCTTACCGTCAGGTAATGCGTCTACTCGATTGCCGATCTATACCACAAAAAAAAAACAATGACCACTCAAATGATTTCAGAAGCAATGTAAGTTATACATATATGTATGTAAGTTATACATATATACATATACGCATCATGAAGCGATGTAAGTTATACATACATATATGTATGTATAACTTACATCGCTTCATGATGCGATAGCGATGATGATCGCTAACTACCTACTTAGATTTTGCATTTATATTTTAATATTAGCCCTGAAATGTTTTATTTTATTTTTTATGTTGACGTAGTAAACACTTATAGTTCATATCATTTTTAATAATTAGTAAAAATAGTTGCAAAATACCATCTAAAAGTATTTTGAAAAAAAAACTTCATTATAAAATCTCTCAAATGTTAAAACCTTTTTTCTCATAACTCTTTGCGTAACATATTTAATTCATTCAAATATCAGCTTGCAGGCAGGTAAGTTCTCCCCTAAGTAAACCAAGTCTCAATTTTGTAGCCAATGTTTGCTCATTAGATTTACCCGGATTTGTAGCAGAGTTATAGAGTATAAGGCTAACCGTCTAAAACATGCATGAGTGTGTATAAGAGTTTTATTTGCGGAAAAATGTTTGAGACCAAGGACTTTTATATTCAGTAATTTGTCTTTTAAAAATATAAAAGGCAAACTGTTGTATCTTTATTATCCTTTGAGGTTGTTCATAGTCTAAAACATTTTTGACATTGTTAATTGTATATTAAGCTTGATATAAAACTCCTTTTTTGAACTTCCGAAACTATAATATAAGAAGCTAGTATTTAATGCTGTCTTTTAGATTTCGTAAAATTGAAATTGAATACTATTCTACGATTGAAGGACATTGCATTCAAAGCTTTTTTAAAACAAATGACCTCCTCTCTTTTTCCTTTTATAAAATTAAAATGAGTTTTAAAATACACGTATAGCGTCTTTGTAACCTATGTATGTGTACTGCTTTGGTTGTATCTTTTGTTGGATACACATATACGCCCGGTTCCTATAATTGAGAAACGATCCGTTTTAATTACGAATAGTAGTTTTATATACGAATCGTAAGCTAAAACCGTTCCTATAACAAACGTCTTGTCGTGCAACTTACTGACGGTTTGCAACTAACGGATATCGGTAAGCGAATTGTATGGAGATCTATGGTGTCTGTGGTTTTCCTATAAATATATTAACCGTCAGTAGACGGTCAAGATAACTATTCGTAATATCATTTGATCGTAATGCGTATACAATGACGATTCGTTAAATATAGGAACCGGGCAATAGTCGAGTACGTAATACGTACATTCAAACATCCAAACAGCTACGCACAGTTTTGCAAATATCAGACGGCCTCATATAAAAATCGACGCACGGAAATACGTATCGCCGACATCAAATCGAATCGATTATCGAGTCTCAAATATCGATATCTCACATTTTTATTTGTAAACGTGCTGTTTGTTATTTTATTCCAATTTATCGATACGTACGTAAGAAATAATCTGGTTAAGGTTTTGTTTGTTATTGCAAGATTCTATTTAGTAAGGAATTCATTGGAATTATTACGATGCGTTAACATACTAGGCAAAACATTTTATAATATTGGCCAGTACTGCAGAACGGCAATTTCATAGGTAAAGACCTATGAAAATAAGAACTAGATTTTGATTACAATGGTGTCTGTACTTAATTATTTTTTTAATGGGCTTTCATTTTGTAGGTGAAGTATCATCGAATGACTTTTTATGCCCAGAATGAGGAGAGAAGGAGTGTCAGACTATTACTGACTAAAATCCACCCCGTTCCTGCTCTGAGTGGGCCCTGAGTAACTTAGCACACAGTTACATGCACTTTAAGGTCTCAAATCTCTTAATATCAGATTATAAATAAATTATGTTTTCAAATTAAGAGATAAGTAGTTCCTACATAATTGCTATGACCAATAACATAAGAGAAAGAGAGAGTATACTTAATATCCCAAGGTAATTATATTCAAATGTAGCGGCTCACACGTGTTTGGATATCAAAAAAACGTTTATCGAATCAGTTGTCGCGTTAAATTTAAATACAAGAGTGGGTTTGCATGTTCCATCTATCGGGAATATTGGGATTCGTAACGCTGTCGAAACACGATACTCCCGCCGAGAGATCGCCATTTTTATTCTCGTTCCAAATTTGAAAAACGAAGAATAAAATGGAAACTGATAATATCGGCCAGTGATTTTGGTGTGAAAGGTTTTATATGTTTTACGAAAGAGGGTACTTCATTAAAATTGTATAATATTTTTTGTGGATGTTTATATCTTAGTAATTTATTTTAATGTTTTTGTATTTGCTACCAACTGGCCGATCTAGAAGTAAATGTTCAGCTGTGGACGTACGATGATGATGTTGTGATAATTATGTTATTCGATATCATTTGAAAGAATGACACACATGTAAACTTATAAAACACAGAAACCTCTTTTATTATAAAATGAAATTATGCAGTTCCCATAAAGTCGGCTCCAGTATGTAAGTAGCAGTGATGTCTACGATGTAGCGGCGTAGCACCGTAGCGTTGTAGCACGTACCTTTATTGCCTACAACACAAAGAAACCGCGCTACGCGGATTTGAATAGCTAACAGCGATGCACAAACTTTTGAAAATGGATGTGGCATTAAAGCCGACATGATAATATCATTTAGTATTAAAACTATAGTTTTCATATTGTAATAATTTTGTTTTATTAATTAACAGTACGATTTTAATCTAATTCAGTAATTTTTATGTAAGTTTAGTTACATACTATTATAATTTTGTTTTTTAAGTAGCATTATATTTTTTAAGTTTTGATTATCTAACCTGCAATATATGGAATTCGATTTAGTTGAAATGTAGTATACACCTTTGGTTCGGCTATCATTATAGAAACACAAAAATGAGTTGTTGTTTCAGGACATATTGACCCACTCGATTTCGTTATTTTTTTTATTTACCTACAATGTACATAACAAATAATATGTGGAAAAAAACCTGATTGAAGATGAAATTAAAATCGAAAAATAAACATATTTTCAATATCGGTTCCATTAATTTTCCAACTTCCTAAGCTTCATGTGCATTGCTTTGACGAAATGTAAACGTCGACGTGCCATTGTGTAGCGATACGATAACGCTTTTATTATTATTAGCTGCTGGGGGTAGGCAGCGGAACGCAACATCATAAAAACATTTATATACTGAGATTACGTTCAAGTTTTGTTAGTGAAAATATCGTATTTAAGTATTTCTTTTAGATTTTTTTACAGCAATGATCATAAATAGTTTGAATTGAACACAATCAATATTTTTCTGATTTAAAAGCCGGTTTTATGTATCAAAACATAAATTGCTTCGACTTGAAGGATATAATTAATGTTTCACTAAAATTTTACGAATTAATATTCTGTTTGACACAGAAAACTGATGACGTCACATTGTTTTGTGTTAGAGTCTACAACTACGCTCCTAGAAAAGTGACGATTTTTAAAATTCGAACCCGTATTGTTTTTCACTAGTTGTCAAGTACCGCAGATGGAGTTCATAAAGACTGATGTTCAGCCTGGTTTACAGGTGAAAGCATAATAATGTACCGCGGCTCCGGCCCGGAGCAGGAGAAGGATGGTTTTTAGTCAGTAAAAAATCCCATCTCGCCCCAAACAGGGCGATTGTAGTAAATTGATAATGGTCAAGTCCCCTCAAAAAACGAAACTAGAGGTTATTTTAACTAGGTATACATGTGATAATGTGTAAATGTGTCTTAAAATAACAAATCACATTATACCGCCTTGTAGAGAAGACGTCGCGCCGCTTTCTCATTAATTAATAACACACTAAGTACACACAATTAGCGACTTCACACGCCTGCGGTGTTTGTTTATCAATAAATAAGTGTAACATTATAATATTGCGTTATTTTACTTATAATTAATTTTCTTGTTATCATTATTCTGCGATGAATTATATCAATGTGTTTGTTTGTACCCCAGTGTGAGGCAATGTTAAGAAAAATTTTCTTCTTTTATTAATATTTCTTCTTTAAAAGATTATTCCTTTTTAATTACCTACTATCTAAAAGTGAATATTTCTTTTTATTTTCCCTCCCTGCAATAAAAATTCACATTACCAGTGTATATTGATTATCCTTTCTATTATATATTCTTGAAATCTATTTACTGCCATTAATAAAATATTGCAAATGCAAATGAACAAAAGAAATCTCAAAGAAATCGTAAATTGGTAGAAAATATAATAGTCCACATAAATATGATTTTTCTTTCTCCCAAAACCATTTCCCATACATTACCATCGCAAAAAGTTCACTTCAGTCCCCGATCTTTCATTCAAGCGTCATTACATTCGCTCGTTCATTCATTCGCTTAAAAACGTTATCTGTAGATTGATCTGGTTAGGAAATTGGGTATATTCAGCTTTCTGGTCGACTGGTCTGGTTGATTAGTGTGCTGTGATTCCGGTTTCCAAGTGTTGGAAGGAAGTTAATGGATGTTTTTTTTGTTGCAAATCTGTATCTTTAATGTCTATTACTGTATTTAGTATGACTATTTTAAGTTTATGGTCGTACACAACTGAAAAGAAATGTAAATTAAAGTTAGAAACTTGTCTTTATGACACCTTTCATTTTTATTGTGTTTAACGTATTTCTGTTTAGTGTTTCTATGCAATAAAGTATATAAAAAATAAATATACAGTTCAGACTCTTTCTTCATCTATATAGTTTGAAATCTTATTATTGTGCTAAGTAATTAATCAGCTCACGGTTTAAAATATAGAGACAGAATGTAAAATAAATTTAGAAATCTCAAGTTCGCATATGTATAAACATTTTATGTAACCATTAGTCAGATACAAAACAATATATCTTGTTAAAAAGCATCAAAACCTTCTATAAAACTGCATGCACACATGAGTTTCAATATGACTTTTAAAAGCAGTGCCAGCCTGCCAGTCATTAAGTAAATACTTTTTGTTTTGATTTTATTATTGAATGGAAACCGGTGGCAGACTTCTAAAAAGAGCCATGTTTGCCTATCGCATGAAAAAGTAAAAAAAAAAAATCAAGTCGAAGAAATAGATACAAGTTGACTGAAAGTGCTGCGTTTAGTAAGTAAGTAGTAAGTTTTCGAAGATAAATTAGTGAAATATATATGTACCTAGTTATTTTTAACATGCAATTTTCTACTTAGAGAATTCGGAAGGAACGTTCGTAAATTTTTAAATTACTAATTAACCAAAACATTGTTTCTAGTCATAAAATCGAACAGCATTCATCCATCAATTTTACCAAATTCAAACATAAGCGGGCATCCAATAAAATCGTCATAAAGAAATTAATCCGCTGACAATGAGGTAGCTATAAATCATACCTTTTTGAAAGAGCACTTGTCGGGATAATCTGTACGTTTTAAAGCCGTCATCGGCTTAGCACCTCCCCAGTCTCCCTGGCTACCCCCTCAGAGGCACTTCACGTGCGTTTTGACGCGATTATCATACCCCGCCGGTATCTGTGAGCAATATTGTTTGCGTTCTCGAGCCTCGATGGATTGGATGTGGCGGAATTGTTTGCGGTTCTCGATTAAAGTTGATTGTTATTGTTGATTTGTAAGATTATTAATATGCAAAAGTTAATATTTTACCATATTTCAAAATGACGAACTTGGGTGTTTTTCTGTTATGTTATTCATTGACTGTTACATCAACTCTTTTTATTTTTTTGTTTGACTAAAAAGCATTTATGTAGGTAGATCGCATTAATGATATAAGTCTTTGAGCTATTTTCATGTTACCACAGTAGTTGTAAAAATATTATTATTTTGATAAATACGCGATGCAACAACATCAAGTACCGCATCCATATTGTTCACACATCCCCGTTTCCCTTACACACCGCCCGCGGAGCGGTTTTTGAATCTGCTTCCTTTGTGACGGTTTTAATATGGAAATTAACGTTCGCTGCCGTGTGACGAAACACCTCCGCAACCACATTATTTCCCACTTTTATTACAAAGACTTAAAGTTTAATTTCCTTTGAATTTTACTTTGTAAAAATGTGGTTTTACCTACCGCTGAACGTTGGGCGAATTTGTCGCTAAAATCCACGCGTTGCTCTGAGCCGCCTAATTGAATTTTTTATGTACTCTTATCATGGCTTTGGATTTTTTTCTCCCGATGTGAATTCGTGTGTTTAATTCGACGCTGTCGGGTTTTATATTTGAGGCCTGTTTCAAGCTATTTTATTACTAACTAGCTACTCTCGCGCGGTTTCACCCGCTGCTCCTACAGATCGTAGCGTCATGTTTTATAGCTAGCCTTACTCGATAAATGTAACTACTAAATAACAAAAAATACTTTGAACCAGTAGTTCCTGAGATTAGTGTGTTCCAACAAACAAACTCTTAAGCTTTATAATATATATATATGTATACATATATATATAAAGTATAGATTCAAGCATCGTAACATTCATTACTTACTAGAATTGGTATTTGAAGTCGGTAATTAATTCAGACAGTAAATTCATTAGCTACTTGATCACCAAATTGAAAAAAAAACATTTATAAACAAATAATTTACTATTGTGGGATAATATACTTAACATCAGTCTCACAAAGTTTCTCACAAAGGCTCTCTCCTCACACGGAGAACGTTTGTAATCACCAGGCTTGTTCAAGGCGGATTGGCGATTTCAAACTTACAATTACAAATCAGGTAGGTCAGTGATAAGTCAATAAACTTAGAAAGTATACAAACTCCGAAAAAGTCAGTTTTTGAACCTGCGTCCTTGTACACGGCCACTGGCTGACTGTCATTAAAACGTCATATTTACAACATAAAAAAAGCCTGAAAACAAAACCGTGTACCCTTTTTGTTATAATTGTTTCAACGGGAGGCAAAAACATTTGAGCATTCAGCCAGGAACGAACCTTATTCATCGCAAAAATGTTACAAATCCTGTGCTGTCTATATTGAAAAAAAAAGTTGCGCACATTTAAACGCAGACTCGGGGCTCGGGGCCGTAGCGCGTCATGTTTGCTCATCGTCGCGTACGTAAGATTCACGCTTCGCATCAACTGTTTGAATAGAGATACACCACTCTGAATTTATTGTGAACATCTCCCCGCCTCCCTATCGTCGCTATATTGTGGCAAATCCGATATATCGCTTTCTCTTCAAACTCAGTGATATGGTAATGTGACATTTAATTCCTGTGCCACCCTTATTAGAGAGGGCCTTTGTTGTTGATTCAATAGTAGTGAGGCGGTAATCGATTAATGAACCGTGTGTAGTAATGGAGATTTTTTAAAGTTTTAATAAAATCTCACCGCCAAATTATCAACGTAATCTCTTTTGAACGCTAATGAAAAATATCTTATATTCGTTCTATAAAACTAGACAGATTTAAATTGAAGGAAAATGCCAATGTTCCGTTCAAAAGAGACTTAAAATTATATTCAGTCGGGCGGGCTGCATCGAAAAAAGGAAACCGAAAACAAATCCGCAGCGAGCTATCGGAATGCGGATGTATCGTCATTCGAATATTGCCAATAAAACACCGATGAGCTGAAAAATCGATGTGGACAGACGAACCGACACCGCGGATATAGAACGTCACTAGTCACTATATCACTCGCAACGGTAGAGCCAGTTTGAATTTGGAATATTTTGTTCTATTTTGATGGCGTGCTGTGACGTCATGCGTCTCTGTTTTCGTTGTTAACATGTTGTTGATTAATAGTCGTGTAACCAATATTGTTTTACATTGGTTTATCTTCTCTATTAGTTACCCAGCATGCACCCGGCTTGTAATTATTTTAGGGAATTTCGTCACTGTTATAACTACTTGTCCAACTTTTTAGGGATCATTTTGCGAAAGCATTTCATCAACAAAAGTATAAATCCCATCTTGCACACAGCAGACAAAGCGTATCCTTTACTTGGAAGTAAGTACGTAGTCGCAGTGGGTATCTCATCAACACAAATGCAGTACTTAGACATAATAGCGTCGGACGCATTGTTCGTGGACGAGGAGCCGCGATAATCACCGGCCGACTGTCTCATTCACTCGTTCAGTCGTTCGTTCCGCACTCACGCTTAGTTGAAATTGGCGCGTTTACATCGCACGACCGTGATTTTATCTTTAGAATAGAAATCGTATTCAGATTAATGCCATTGTTCTTGAAACTTGAAGAGACAGACAGAAATTCAGTTAATGTAAAAGTTGTCGTCAACAGAAACTGTTCATTTGTTATGTCTAACTTAGGTACCTATTAGATAGATCTCTTCTGGATATATAGGTACATATCGTAGAGGGCGTAAGAGGAGCCTAATATTTTCTATCAGATAATAGAAATATTTAATTGAAGCGGGTAAATAGTGATAAGCATAGAATTAATACTACACTAGGTAATAAGATGATTAATTGTACTGCAAGCTTCTCTGACCTCTTTATGCTGTGCCCTACCTGGTCCATATTTTTTCTCATATATTGTTGCAACTTTATAGAAATACCACCTGTATAACATATGGAACGCTAATAAAGTATTTAGTGTTGAGTATAGTCTGAAAGCTTCCGATACCTACGTAAGACCTACAGTAAGAATTTTCCCCTCAAAAATATAAATAACATAAAAACAGGCTTTACATTTTTTCATACGTGTTTGCTGTTTACAATCCTACCTAAAGCATAAACTGGATGAATTTTATAAATATCGTGTAATCTCGTTTAGTCGTGTCGCATAGTACAAACTGCTCCAGCCACCCCTCATTCAAGTGCATCGCATCTCATTCACATCACGATCCCCGACAGGGTTCAGTCGCTCATTTGCGAATTGATTTACATTCAAACATGGAATACTTTTCTTTGTTGCAGGATGAGCTCCGTGCAAGAAGAGAAAGTCCCTACCGAGGGACCAAAAACTCATGTACGAGAATTGAGGAATACAGAACTGGTCTCACGTCTTCTAGCAGCCACACCACCTTATCTCTACAGCGCTTTACCGCTTCAGCCACATGCGTTCTTCTTCAGTGAAATGCTACGGTCCTTTGTGAACGCACGTCACGGCTGCAGGCCTCCTCACTACCATCGCCGCTTCAAGCGCCGAACGCACAAATATTTCGCTGAAAATGAAAACGATTGGCGACGTGAGTGGCCTAAACATGAAGAAGAGAAGAAAGAACCAGAGACGCGACCCGAGGTTCCTTTGGAACTGACTGTTGATAAGCATACCAGGGTTCGGGAGCCATCACCACGCAGGTTATCGCCAAAGGCTGAGCAGCCGAAACAAAGCAGCAGCCCTGGCCCACCAGGTCGACAGTCATCTTATGTGGATGTAGGAACAGAAGAACTTCCAAAGCCTTCTCCATGCGTAGGTCGAAGCTCTGAGACGTCAGCGGTACCACAATCAAATCTAATTCTCCCTCCACCTCCGCCAATGTGGTATCCACCTCTGTACAATCCTGGAGGTTTCGGTGTGGATCCATTGAATTTCTTCATAGATCTCCGTGTATCTGGACACATTTATGACAGGAAGAGGGCTTTGGCTGAAGGAGTGGATAACAACCAAGAGCCTAGGGATGAAGGTTTAGACAAGAGGCTTACTAGAGACTTTGTTCAGCGACCACGACATGTGTCAGCATTCTCTGTACCAGTTCGCTCAAGCAACATTCCTGAGGCAGAAAAGTATTTGGAACAATCTGGTGCGAAGGTAGCGAGCAATGCGAATGGAACGTCGTATATAATGAGGAATCTGAAACGGGTGTATGAGGATGTTCATAGCACGCAAGATGTCAAAGAAAATGCCAAAGTGAGCAAAAATGATGAAACCAAAGCCGAGTCGTCCGATGTTGATGATGAAGATATTATAGATTAAAAATATTTATCTAAATTTAACCAAATTGAAAATATAAATAATACCTACATACATATTGCACATTGCTAAAAAAATGTAAGAATAACTTATACTTAACTTATACTCGACTAATTCTAACTTATACGTAATAACAAATTTAACCTTACTGGAAGTTGGTCTTAAAATTGATGAAAAGCGGAAATCAAAATAGTCAAGGAACCTGTAGATTCAAAGACCCGCACTTACCTACTTATTAGGCGGACGTGTGTTAAGAAAAATACGCTTTGGCTATGCACCTCATATGTACTTATACCATAATAAATAATGTAAATACGATAGGCATATTTCATCTATGTATGAACATGTTATACCTACCTATCAATCACGAAATTCGTTTGGATGCACCAAAACATTCCTATTTTCCCCATTATAATAAATTAATGATCTCAATGTCTAGTCTATAAAATATATTTATAGTTAATTTTAAATGTTTTAATTATTTCTAGCTTTAATTATAAAGGATATCTCTTAAAATATAATAAAGGTTCTGTTCGATCTGCGAAGGAAGAATAGGAAAAAAAAAATAAGTTATGAAATTAAAATAAATTATTAAAATAAAATGACGCACGACACGAATGCATGGTTGTTGTGTTGGTTGGGCAACTGGCCGCCGCGCAACGTGTCTTGGTTTCGATTAGGTACCGCTTGGAACTAGGTACCTACTCTTTCTGAGATTCACAAATCTTTTAAACTTTCGCGTTTCATCTTAATACAACAACAAGTTTTACAACTTTACCTACATCTTGTTCAAGTAAATTTGTTCCTTCCCAGATCGGAGACAAATATTATAATCTGTGTAAAAATTAATATTAAATTGTATTGTACAGTCAGGGGACAATAATGCAATTGCACTGTACCAATTTTAAAATGACCAAGATATCTTTGTAGAATAGAGTCAATGGTTGAGAACTGCTTTAATTTATAACATAAAATCTAAATTATTGAATAAACTGGCTGTGAACCATTTAACTTTAAATACAAAGAAATTTTAGTCATTTTAAAATTGGTAGAGTATAATTGCATTTCTGACCCCTGACTGTACTTACCTATTTATATATGTATAAATGTACTAACCTATGTAGTTAGAAATTATATTAAAATGGATTTCCAAATTAAAAACTGTATCTATTTACACTGTGTTTTATTGATGTAAATGTGTTGAAAATAAATAATTTTTAACAAAAACATCTTAACTTTACCTTTCTATCTTAACTTCAAAAGTAAACTAAAAAGCAAAAAATAAATTTTCTTTGTACTTAGAAATTAATACATCTTTTCATTTAGTTAAATAGAAAATAATGTAAAGATTACCTATATACCTATTGTAAATTTGATGATTAGGAGGTCCCGATCAATATATTTTTCTACTACTGTTGTTGTTTGGTATGAAAGTCATACCTACTTATTCATATATTATTTAATGATGATTCACTTGGCACCGCATTAAAGATTGTTAAATGCTTATTAATATTATTTTCTTCAAACACGAGGTAGTTATTGTGACCCGTGCAGAAGTTCCCTGAGTTGTTCTTTGTTCTCATCATCAGCCCCCTAATGACAGTCATGACCAATCTCGGTGCAAAGTGCTATAGTATCTACTTAAAATAGAGCAGGAGATCCCTCGACGGTCTTCCGACTCCATCATCAGATTTACTGCATAACTTCATTGTAACCCATATAGGTGCGAAGTTTTCATTGATATAAATGAATTAAGTCCAAACACAAGGTAGTTACTGTAAACCGTTCAGGAGTACCCTGAACTGTCCTTCGTTCTCATCATCAGATCCCTAAGGCCAATCAGGATCAATTTTGGTGCAAAGTGCTCACCAATACAAATCATTCAAGCCCAAACACAAGGTAACTACTTCATATAATCAAGGAGATCTTTCGACTGTCTTCCGGCTCCATCATCAGGTCAAGTTCGACTATCGGCAAGTTGTAGCGTTATAAAAAGCCTACCTACTAAAATAACATGCAAAAGCATTACTCGCCCCTACAATTTTCGAAAGTTCCCCTCGGTTTCCCTACAATTCCATCATCAGATATAACGAGGTCAGGAGACCTCATGAAAATGGGACCCTCTTGGGAGTATCTATAACCTTTCAAACAAAACAAGAATTTTGGAAATATTTTTGTGAACATACAAAAAAAAAAAAACAATCAACCGAACATAGTAGGTACCTCCTCCTTTTTTTGAAGTCGGTAATAAGGAAACCAATTTTTTGGTACGAATGGGCCGGCTCGACCGGAGAGATATGAGACTTTACAGAAAACTGGCAGTATGTGTGGCAGCGTACCGCAGGCCCGAACTTTTCCAGCATCGCCAAATCCCAAAACCCTTACCAATCCTAACCTGAAAAGGTCGGTACATTTGTAACCTCATTAGTGCAGTGGGTGTTCATAATGCCAGGAAGATAATTTCTCATGGCGTTTGTTCGTTAGCCGCCATATCCCATAAAACATCTCGAATATATTTTATAGTCACATTGGGTATCTCTATAACGGGTTCGATTCCCGTCCGTTAGTTGGACTGAGTTATGGTTGTTTTTCACCAATTTTGAGATGCAATATGCTGTAGGTAAGTGGTTAAGTGTGTACCTAACATTTTGTAATTGTGCCTCACTGTCTGGTTCTCTGGGGCTTATAATGTGTTTGTGTGTGTGTAAAGTTGTCACATTTATTGGACACTTTATTGGTTTTAACGTGTCAATCGCAGTCGCACTATCTCAATTTCTGATTAAAAATCATAAAAATTTACTAATTATCTCATCATAATATTCTATTATATAAATGCTTATACATTACAAATCTGGCCCTAATTGTTTTGGTATCATCAGTTGTCGTTATTTATAAATAGTATAAATTGGCCTGAACCGCCATCTGTGAGCAAGTAATTTATTAAATATTTATTTTCTGCCATTTATTTGCAACTACAATAGTTTATTAGCGCCATCTTTTATCAGTTGGTTGATAAGCGTTGTACACTTTCATAGAAATTACTCTAGAAACAGATTTTATATTCTTTATAAAATCTGTTCCTACAGTAATTTTTGCGCTCATTTTTTATTTAAAAACCCTGAGAATATGTTTATCATTTATACTTTTTTAAGGGTTATAGAAATAATACCTATCAAAAAAGTGGTTTAGTTTAAACAGATTACTGTTTAGGTTAATGTTTTTTTGTGCTGTCAGTTTATTGAAAATGGATAGGTAACTGGCAACTTATTGTAAAATTTGACAATTTATTTAGAGTTGCCAGTAACTTAAACATTGCTGTGGTCAGATAAAATAACATTACTATTTTTTGCTATTTAAACAATTCGTTAAATATTGAGCAATTATTTTTTAAATTCAGATACAATAAATCACACTAAAAATAACTTACTTTGCTTTACAACATTTATTTATCGTGGCCCTTAAATTCAAATTTATTTATAATATCTGGCAACATTTCAGTCACCACGCGATTTTCGTGAATCTCTTGAAATTCGTAGGTTTTCTCGAAGTATATTTTAGATTCACGGAATTTAATATAACTAAAGTACTATTAAAATGTTCGGTCAACAACCTATTTTAGTGCTCAGTAAGTATACAGATTTCTTTGACGTGAAATAGTCGTTGTAATTTGTGATTTCCATTCAACAGTGGTAAAACTCTTTCAGGCCAAAACACAAAACGTGACTCCGGCCGGAAAGTTCAACTGGAGAATATAAATGCTGGAAAGGTAAATTGATGCTAAATGTATTAGAAATGAAAAATTTTCGTCAAAACCTGTCAAATGTAGTAGTAAAACGTTTAATATTGTTTTTATTTTAGACGATAGCCGACGTTATTCGAACATGCCTCGGGCCTCAGGCTATGTTGAAAATGTTGATGGACCCAATGGGAGGTATCGTGATGACCAACGACGGCAATGCTATCCTCCGTGAGATCACCGTGCAGCACCCGGCCGCTAAATCTATGATTGAAATCGCCAGAACACAAGATGAAGAGGTTAGAAAAAATAGTTTTAATAGTTGTAGCTTTAGGAATAAAAGATATATTATTAATCCTTTGTCCTTAAGAATATGAATATTCCAGCAACAAGAGAGTTTTGATTCAACTTAAACAGTTCTTTGCATTGTGAAACGAAATATACTTCCAAGTGGAATCATTTTCTTTTGTTTTATGAATCATACAAATCATTATGCATGTCAACTTATGTGTGGGAGGGTTGTATTAAGATTTAATTTAAAGTTTTGACAGTGATTTTAAGATGTACCTCCAATGCCAAATATTAAATTGGTTTAATTTAATTAATAAACAAATCTTGTTAGGTTGATTTGATTTTCTCAAATAATAGATTACAAATCAATTTTAGTATAAGATGATTTTTTGTTATATTTTTTATGCCAAATACATCAATCATTATAAGAATCTTTCTATTAAAGTAAATGTTATAATAATACTTGTATTAAGATGATGGCATTAGAAAAATATTAAAAACTTCAATACTATGTAATAATATGTACTTCAATGTAAGGATTTGTGTGCACTGTTGGAAGACATTTAAATTTCCCATGTTTTGCAAACCCTAACCTTTAAATTGTGGTAATTCGAGACACAATAGAAGAACAATATCCATGCAAATGTGCGCCACGGTGTTCGCTTGGGGTTTGATGAATTAGCATTAAGATTAAAGGCCAATTCCACAAAGTAAAGTGTAATGTTATCATAATTTCTATGATTTATCTGCCACATATTTATCAGGAACTTTTAAGAAAGAGATGAAACAGACACTTATACTCTAAAATTTTATCTCAGGTTGGAGATGGCACAACATCAGTCATTGTCCTGGCTGGAGAGATGTTGGCTGTTGCGGAGCAGTTCCTCGTCCAAAACATTCATCCCACAGTAATAATCAGGGAGTACAGACAGGCTCTGGAAGATGCTGTCAAACTGCTGCAGGACAATATCTCCAT